ACGGAAAGGCGATGACGGGCAAGTGGGTAATTCGAGTACACGTGCAATGGGGTATATTCTTTGCGTTGAGAAGACTGGGTCGGAATTATTTTAACAATTTCGTCCCCTGGGCTTACTAAAAATGGCGGATGATCGGACAGGTTCGAGGTTGCTGTGCCAATCGATAGTAATCGATGAACGGTTTTTGTGTGGTTATCGATTGGTCATTGATTGGCCGATACTAATCGATACCAATTAACTAATTTTATCAATTGATATCGATTGATCGATTGGTTTTTCGATCACCGATTTCCATCGATTGCATATCCCGGGGTCTATTTGAGTGTGGCGCTAGTAAGCGGGTACGGCTTCGTAAAGGATATTTGCTTTAGCTGGGAGCCTGGGCTGGACAGTTCTACATGATCCTTTCCAGAGTGGGCTGTGATAAATCCAGGTTTGTTACACTGGTGCTGGTAGGCTATGGGACAAGGACTACGGGCACTGGGGATCCCTTTGGTTGATCGGTGTGGGTTGGGCCCTGAGAGTCCTTGGACCTGGGAAAAATTAACGGGCATGCATTCGTGAAATGATCAAAACTGCTACAGGACTTACAACAGATGGACTTTGGTAGGCCTGTGAACGTGTCTAAATAAAGCTGGAAATCTCGTTTCCCCCAATTCGTCCACACTCCTCCTCAAACTCTTTAATGGAGGTCTCTTCGTTTTATAGCAGCTACAGGCTTCCCTCGCTTCCCAGCATCCTCTCAAACAGCCAGATAGCATCCATCACGAATGGTGAGTACGTGGACATTGCTGTCCTCTTTCCTTTTCCTCGTTACTACGCGCCTGATCTGAAAAGGGAAACAAGGCTTTGGCAGCCTGGGAATTACAGCATTGCAAGATAACACTCTCGCTAGAGGATCGTGCATTGCGGATTCGCCAACTTGGCGTCGACATCAGAGACCATCATCGCCGAGAGTTGGTCTGGAGCAGTGGTGACAATGGCTGGAGAGTCGCTTTCTTGGAGACGAGCAAGTCGCAACGCGGACCAGTTTGGCGAGGTTACCTGTACG